GCGGATTTGATGCACGAGAAAATAGTGCATATTGGACGTGAAGAAGGGAGCGAGTTGCACGTGGGGAAAAAAACGCGCCTGATTTAAAAGTCACACCTGAACGCTCACATCCTTTTAATTATGTTTGAAATTATGAACATTGCTCAACATCATGAAAATTAAACTTTATTTTCAATAAGCAATCCTGAAAAATATTTGGGCGTGCTTAACTTTTTTCCAGGTGTATATTATAACAAATATGACTGCTGCTCTGTTACCAATTGTTACTACTTTCTTTTGTTTGTACAAAGTGTTACCAAATCTAAAATAACTGTTGTATAGGACAGAATTGAGCATTGTGTGGATAGTGTCTAATGTGATGTTCTCTGGAAAAATGTGAAAAAACTAATCGACTGTAACTAATAATAAACATTTTACTTTTGATTGTGCCAAAAAACTTCGGTTTTTTGTGTTTTTTAACTTTTAATATAGCAGCACAAAATGTACTTTTTTGTTTTGACTTTCTGAGTAACTTCCTTAACAAAATATACAAACGTACGTAAGATGACACCTATTAGACGAAAACCTGAGTTTACGGAAGAAATAATTTCACCGTTACTGATTTATGTCATTTTAACAGTTTACTTTCACGATACTGAAATCAGATGGTGTCTGGCACAAAGAAACATTTTTTCATTACGTAAAAACATTGTACCAGAATGCACCCATCTTTTGTTTGTTCACGTCAAAAACAAGGTTATTTTCTATATGACTTTTGTGACGTTTTGTCGTCAGGGTCGAGTGAACAGCAAACAATGCAATCAAGAACCTTCCAAGTGTTTAAACTCAACTCTCCAAGGTGAAAGGGTTTAAATCAGGTAAGACAAAATTGAAAGTAAGTTAAATGGAAAGAAACACAGGCATTAAATTAAAGTATATAAAGTAAACTACTTAAACCATTAAGTGATTGGTTGGTTGTTTTGAATTTCGCTAGCCGGCCCTAATTTAGCAGTATAAGACTAGAGGAATGTGGGACTTGAACCCGCGACCCGCAGACTGTGAGTCGAGCGTCCTAACCACCTGGCCCTGCCGGGACCTGTTAAATGATAAATAATTTTGTATTAAACCTATATGAAGTAGAATGATATAATTAAAGTTTTACAATAAAACTGTATGAAGAAGAACGAGATAATAAATATTTCGCACTAAAACTATATGAAGTAGAATGAGATAATAAAACATTTACATTAAAATTATATGAAGTAGAATGAAATAATTAATCTTTTACAATAAAACTATATGAAGAAGAACGAGATAATAAATCTTTCACATTAAAACTATATGAAGTACAATTAGTTAATAAAATGTTTAGAATAAAACTAAAGAAAGTCGAATGAAATAATGTAAAACATTTTTACTTCGATAAATAATCTCTCATTTCAGGACACTTAGCACAAGAAAAACTGAAAGAAGAGGTGACTAAAGTGTTGTTGAGTTCTCTATTATCTTCTGAATAATCCAAGAACCGTTTTTCAAATATGGGACAATTGTGCTAGATTATGGATATATTCACGAACACGACTGGTTATTGGCAGGTTGTGGATATTATTGGGGAAACTATAGGTAGCTGGTCTGGACCTGGTAACGACCGATCCTTGGCGTGTTGTGGACACAGACACGAGTGCTTGTTTGTGTCAGGAACACGCTAAGAATGACTACATTCAAGGGATTCAAGTGAATACAGTGGTGTTTAATACTAGTACATCTACGTATATGATGTAAGAAACGTGCTGTGCCTCAGGTCAGTGGTTATTTAGCTAATGGATACAGTGGTGTTCCTAATAAATATATGACGTAAGCAACGTTCTGTGTCTCAGGTCAATGTGTATTTATCAAGTGTATACAGTGTTTAATAATAGTTCATCTAAGTATATGATGTAAGAAACGTGCTGTGTCTCAGGTTAGTGGTTATTTATTTAGTTGATACAGTGATTAATACTAGTACATCTAAATATATGATGTCAAATACATGCTGTGTCTCACGTAACTGGTTTGAACCATCAACCAAACCTTGAAAGTTTGGTTTTGTAAAAAAAATTAGAAAGTAAAATTTCATGACTTCAAGATCGTTTCTTTTGGTTAGACTGTGTAGTTCTGGTTTTTAAAGTTTCAGCCATAAGTAACGAACTACGTATGTTTCGTTTGGCCAGAAGAGCAGATAAGGAAGAAGAATGGAAATAGTTTTGTGTTACTCTTAACTCAGTTGTTACTTGTGAATATGATAAAATTTATTGTTTCCATGTCAAAACTTAGTCTTCTGTCTACACCTCTACTTAGCCTAAACTTAGTCGTATTCTATCTACACCTCTACCCATATCAAATTTGGTTGCTTTCTGTCTACATCTTTACTTATCCTAAATTTGGTCGGATTCTGTCTACACCTCTACTTGGCCTAAACTTGTTATTCGTTTGCCTACACCTCTACATAACCTAAACTTGGTCTTCTTTTGCCTACACCTCTACATAACCTAAACTTGGTCTTCTTTTGTCTACACATTTACTTAGCCTAAACTTGGTCTTCTTTTGTCTACACTGTTACGTATGTGCTTGTTTGTTAATTTCCGGTATAAATTATTTCCGAGAAACTTCAGCGATACAAGTCCTTTCTTAATTAAACCAGTTTATTCTTTCTCGAATCAAATTTTTGTAACACACAGAATTTCCACAGTCACTTTAAACTTAACAACCTTTATATCACACGCTATAAATCACAGTGATTCAACACACTTTACTTACTGTGCCTACTGTTTGCTTGACTCAATTATATATCTCTTCAATCCCGTTGGTTTTTCTCGCCAGGCTTATATATTGTTACGTATCTGCTTGTTTGTTAATTTTCCGTAGAAATTCTTTCCGAGAAACTTCAGCGATAAAAGTCCTTTCTTAATTAAACTAGTTTATTCTTTCGCTATACAACTTTTCAATACACAGAATTTCCACAGTCACTTTAACTTAACTACTTTTACAAACACACACACTTAACTAACGGTGCCTGCTGTTCGCTTGACTCAATTATCTCTATCTTCAATCTATCTGCATATTGCTTCTATCTATCTGACCCCGCATGCTTTATCTGCCAGGTTTATATATTAAAAAGGGGGCGTCCCGAACACACTAGGAAATTCACGATCATTCGAGAAACTCCTCGTACACGCCACCAGCGCCAATGCGCCAGCACCGTCACGTAACTTCCGCTGTCGTAACACTGCCCATTCCTTTGTATTGTTCATCCCGAACAATAGCCACTTACATCAAATCAATAGATAATTAACAATAACTTAATTAAATGTACAGAATTTACAAACACAAAATTAAAATACAACAAAGTCTCTTAATTTTACAGGACTTTTCTTCTTTCGTACTAGTCTCCTTCTCATTGGCGTCATTAGAACTACCATAAAAAAGAGATAATGAGCTTTAACAATTTGTGAACTTCAACATAGTTTATAATTATAATAAAACAGAGATAATGCGCTCTAACAATTTTGAACATTAAACAAAGTTTAGAATTATAATAAAACACAGATAATGCGCTCTAACAATTTTGAACATTAATCAAAGTTTAGAATTACAATAAAAGAGAGATAATGAACTGTAACAATTAGTGAACTTGCAAGAAAATAGTTTAGAACTACAATAAAACAGAGATAATAGACTCTAACAATTTATAAATGTTTGAATATAATAGTGCTACCCATTTGTTACGTTACCAAGTATTAGAGCGGGAGTGAAAACTGAAATTATTGAATTAGTTATGTACTGTTTTATTATCAAAATTGATAATAATAATATTCTCTTTTATATACCCAGTTGTTAGTTTTCAGTATTACCAAATCTTATTTTATGATTTCATCTTATGAAGATATTTGAATAACATGAGAGAACAGAAAGAAGAACAAATCGTTTCCTTTATTGTTTCCCTTACAGAGTAATTACAACGAGAAATAAAAGGATAAACATAAAATTCAAACATTTTAAAAGGGCTTATAGTCACCAATGTATAAAAACATGTAAATATACTAACTACAAAAATGTAACTTAAATGAAATAGACAAGGAAATAGAATCAGTAAAAACTGACATTGAATATTAATATATTCCTCATTAATAACCGAATAAGTTGATAACAATAGCAATTATTGTATTTTGATATTTAACATTAAATACTTTTCCCGAACGTAGAAGAGATTTAGTTTGATTTTCTGGCTTACTCAGTAATAAGGCAAGTTTATGATAACTAAAACAAAAATTCAACAGACATATTTGCCAAGGAAAGTTTCATAATTATATTTGTAATCATACTGGTTTTTAGTGTGTTTTTTAAAAGTAATAATAACGCTTTCATTAGTACCTAACAGGAGTAATTACATTGTAAATATAATATTGGAAATATGCAAATCTTAAATTATACAATGTTTATGGGAGAAAACACTACTGCTTGAAAGACATAACAAACAAAAGTATCGAGTGACTGTGTGACAAGAAGATATTGTTAATTTCTGATGCTAATAAACTTCCTAGGAAATAATAATAACATTACTTCTGGTTACTAATAGACAGACTTAAGATTCTCCCAAAGTTAAAGTCACAATTAAGCGACGAGTGTTCGATTTTGTCTAACATCAGACAATACCAAGATCCTCATCAGCACCAACACGCTCAACTCCTATAACAGAACGCAGCCTGACCGGAAGTTTGGGAAATCTATTATGCGGTTTACTGTAACGAGAAGGCTGTTGGGAATCGCTGATATCTAACTCAGTAGTGTTGTCCAATACGTTTACAAAAAGTGGGAAATTAAATGTTGAATAATCACAGTCCGATCTTTTGATCTGGGCGGATGTACCGTAGGGAGTTTCGCTTGTGGAACGTACAGGAACAGGAGGTGACTCACTAGACTTAGTGACGTCATCACTGGCCTGCTTGTCCAGGTTTCTGATTTTGTGGAAGTTAGCCCTTCCGTTGGGCTGTTCTGTAACTTCTGTGTTTGCAAGAGGTTCCCGTGATTGTGAATGGTCTGTTTCAGACAACCCACTGCCTTCCAGGATGAACTGATTGTTTTGGATGCTCTGTCGAAGAAGACTGTCTACAGAAAGTTCATTTCGCCTACTTGCAGGATGTCTCATCATGTATACGCTATAAGGTGAATGTCTTCTTCGAAGTGCGTCTCCTTTCGATCCAGTTAGATGTTTTCTACAGCACATGTAGTAACAGATAACATTCACTAGGATCAAAAGCAGCAGAAACCCACCGCATGCTGCTGTGGAAATAATGATGACTTTTTCAACATCTGTGTTTTCCTTTGGTTCAGAAGTTTTACCAGTGGTGACGTCTGGTGTTGTTGTTTGAACAGTTTCTGATGTAGTGGATGAACTTGTAATAATTTCTTCACTTATAGAGGACGTTGTTTTGACTGGCGTGCTGGTCGAGGTGGTAGTGGGTACTTCAGGACCTTTAAAAAACACCGGAACTATATTTGAGACTTGCCCATAATTCCCCGCATCGTCAATTGCACGAAGGCCTACGTACAGGATAGTATCTTTTTCTACTTGAGTAAGAATAAAGTTTTGAATCTCCATTGAATAGCTAGGTAGTGGCTGCGAGCTCGTGAAAGACATCTGCTTTTGGCTGTCTCCAAAACTACATTCTGTAAGAGCTGAATGAGCCTCAGAAAACCGTATTTCATATCTTGAAGCTGCAACATACATTAAGGGTATGATCAGTACTGGAAGACACAGAACTCTCTTTTTTTAAAATAAATATACAAAGACAGCTCACAATGAGATAACATATAGAGATACTTAAACCTAACTGTTATCATTCTTATGATAATTTTATTTCATTGAAAACGACCTTCATGCTTGAGCTAGCTAAGCCAGGATATCAATCTTCAGATCGCCTAAATCGAATTAATTATTAGGGTTGAATGCCAGTTAACGTACCATTTCCCCAGTCACCGTCATCACCAGGAGCGGTCCATTTCAGAGAGATGGACATATTTCCCAAACCTTGATTAATACTTTTCACTTGAAGATCGGTGACTCTGTTTGGGGGATAATGATCTTCTTCAATAGATGGAGCCACTATATGAAAAGACTCAACAACGGTAAACCGGCTAAAATTACTCAAAGGAACTGCATTTTCAAAATCTGGTACATCTGTCGAAAATAGAAGTTGATAAGATATTGATTTCAAAAGAAGATAATTAAAGGTAAAGTATTATAATAACATACTCTAGATTAACACACATAATATAATAAAATACTCTATATTTACACAATTATTATAATAACATACTCTAGATTAACACACATAATAAAATAACATACTCTATATTTACACACATATTATAATAACATACTCTAGATTTACACACATATTATAATAACATACTCTAGATTAACACACATAATATAATAAAATACTCTATATTTACGCACATATTATAATAACATACTCTAGATTTACACACATATTATGATAACATACTCTAGATTAACACACATAATATAATAAAATACTCCAGATTTACACACTTATTATAATAACATACTCTAGATTAACACACATATTATAATAACATACTCTATATTTACACACATATTATAAACAATACTCTAGATTAACACAGATATTATAATAAAGTACTGTAGACTTACACACATATTATAATAACA